TTCAAAATTAGACCAGAGGGTGAGATTACAGGAAACTGAGAGTGAACTTGGAGATAAACAATGAAGTGTGTGTGTGCGCGCGTGTGTGTGTGTGTGTGTGTGTGTGTGTGTGTGTGTGTGTGTGTGTGTGTGTGTGCGTGCGTGTGCATGTGTGTGTGAGGTCAAACAAAGTATTTTTAACAAGGAAAATCATTTGATGCAACACACAGGAAAGCTGGTTGGTTTGGCCTCAGCCTCCCTGTACTCAAGCTGACCCGTGGCGTCAGCGTTTCATCAGCTCTGTCCGCGCTCCACGAACCGGACGCTCGGTGGACGCTGTTTTCTCATCACCCTCTCATTCAGTTTTAGGTGAAGACGATGAGCTAATGCTCACCTTTAAACACGAACAAATTAAAGAGTCCATGAAAGTCGTTGTTGTTTTTTTTCTCGACTTGTTAAATTCCTGCAGCCTAATTTAAAGCGCTGAAAGCTTCCTCGCACCGCTGTCACTTTGGTGGCAGCAGCTCTGCTAATTTCCCCCTCTGCCTCCTCTGTCTTAGATCTCAGTAACAGCCCCAGTGACAAACACACACACACACAAACACACACACACACACGGTTACATACACTCCTCCCAATGGCCTGAGGAAAGCCCAGAGCAACTCCAATTAACCACAGCACACACTAAACAAAAACTGCGAGCTCCTCTGTTCTGTAAATCTAGAAGGACTTTAAAAAGAGGTCGCTCTTACTTCAGCGACAGGACACATGCAGGTAAACACACACACACACACACACACTCACACACACACCCTGCTTCTTTGAGACGTTACCCCAAATTTCCATCTCAGCCTGAACGTCTATTAAAACACCGTATCTGCTGATTGTAGCTGATCGTAACCATTTATGTTAACGTGTCAATTTCCATCAGCTTCTTTCCGTTCCGCAAAACAAGAACTTCTTCTGTGAGTTTGTTGAAGATCAGATCATGGAAACACTCTGACTAGCTGTGTTTACATGTGCAAAATTCTTTATCCCATTCAAAATGTGAAGGATCTGAATCCACTGTTTATATGGATGCAAAATCAAAATATCCGATCACATGCACGAAGCTTTGTTCAGATTAGAAGCATTTGGACATGCGCAGAGTTCTCTAATTTCGCTAAAACAACAACAGAAGAAGAAGAAGAAGAGTTGTAGTTACGCCTGTGCTGTCAAACCAACAAATGCGGTCGTTGCTCACTCCATCCAATTCAGGATATTTCCCCTCTGTTTAATGCTGTCACTAGGTTGCGCTCTTGCTTACTTATTTTACTGTTCTGTCAAAGGTTGCTCTGTGCGTGGCGTGCAGATGTGACATCATTACACAGTATGGAGCAGGAACAGCATCTGTTGGGGTTTAATATTGAAACCTCCTGTACTGACCTCAACAAATAAGAGCGAAGATGGAGTCAGGGTTAGAGAGTCACGATCGGAATAAGTGTTTACATGGACATGTTTCGGAATAAACCACCTCTCTCGATCGGAATACAATTTCTTTCCAAATGAGTCAAATTGGATTCGAATCTTCTGATCGACATGTTTACATGACGCAGTTTTATTCCGATTATTTGTGCCCATGTAAACGCAGCTTCAGTTTTTTATTTTTTGGTGAATCCCTGTAAACATGGAGGAGTGATGTTATCCTCGCTCTCTTGTTCACCTGAAACAGGTTTTTAAAGGCCCAGCTTTAACGGGAACGAAGACTTAGTCTAAATCTATAATCGGTGACCTTGTGTTTGACCTCAGCTGTGTCTCATCTGACCACTTCACCACGATGTTGTTGTCATCTCGAGTGTTCGACAATCATCCACACTCACCTCTTTTTTTAACAGGTGAAAACGGGCAGATTTCTTTTACCGCCACAGAGAATCATAAGTGAGCCGAGCTGAGAGGGGTCAAAGTTCACCGCTGCTGAAGTCTTTCTGTACGTGCAGAAAAACCCTTTGAGCGAAACATCAGCTCCTGTGGAGGTCACGGCGTGGAGGTTGACCTTTAGCTACCTGTGGGAAGAGAAACGATCGATGTTGAATATGAATGTTTCCCACTCAAACTCAACCTGCAGTACATCTACAATCTGTCTCTCTATGTTTAAACTCTAATCTGTATGAGATTAACATAATCTCAACAAAATAAAACAGACTTGTTATGATCAAACCTGTTGAGTACGAAGAGAGGACAGCGAACCCGCTAAAAGTGGTTCAAGTAAATCTTAAAATCAAAAGTCGAGCTGCTGTTTTCTGACCGAGGGAGGAGGAGGAGGAGGAGGAGGAGGAGGAGAGTGTGAAGGACTTTATTCAGGGACAGAAGTGATTTAATCTTGGAGATAAATCTTCACTGAATGAAAGGAGATTGTTTTTTTTATGTGATGATTGAAGGTGAATTCTGAATCAAAAATTACTCCGAGGTTTTCTGCAGATGTTTGATGAAGGACTGAGAGAGTTTTCTATCTGTGGGGTGTGGAGGTAGTTTAAGAGCACGACTTCTGATTCAGGTCTCACCTGAAGTCGTACGTCACCATTAGGGAAGGGCGATATAGGCTAAAAAATTTATCATAAGATTTGCCTTTCTGATGATAATGATGAAAAATATTATAATTCCTATCAATATTTTTGACTCATTTTTCTTAAGAACACCAGTTGGAGTCACTAAATAAGAAATTTAACCACAAGTCTAAGTGGTAGGTTACAGAGAAAACCAGAGACTGTATATAGAATGGATGCCGTCTGCCTCCTCGCTGGGTGAAGCCACTCTGAGTAAAGTATAAGTCATAAATCCCCCCTTCTCCAGCGTTTCTCCCCCCTGGTTGTGATGTTGACATGTAGTTACAGTCAGACTGGTTTGTTCTCAAGTCCTCTTTTTTCTGTACAGCTCCATTTTTAAAAGTTATTAGGGGGTTCATGTTTTCTATGATTGACACTTGATACAGCCTATAGGTGTATGAAGATTGTGTAGCTCACCTGGGGGATATGCCGTTTGAGCCAAGCGTCATCACAGCGACTCTCAGCAACTCTCTCGCCGAAGGTGTACAACGTTGGTTTCAGGAAGTGGAAAAAAATCGGAGAACTTTTCGGCTTCAGATCTGTATACTGGCAGAAGGCGTAACCAAGTTGTCCATAATATATACAGTCTATGGAGAAAAGTAATGACATCCAACAGGTCTCAAATGTGAAAATGTCTTCAACATTTATTGAAAACTCTTATTGCGCAAAGTGAACAGCAGTAGCAGATCCAATCTTGAAGGAAATCCCTCAGGTGGAGCCTTGTTCAGTAACCAGCTGCTCAGAAACGTCTTCTTCCTTATCCTCGGCCATGTTTGTTTGTTACTCTGATTTGAATGGGCTATAGCTGTGAGTCCGTCGCTTGCACGAACGTCACGCATTTATCATGAGAACAAGGCTCGACAGTGCGACCGTTTCAACCACATTAGCAACTAAAAATAGATGTGTACGAATTGTAAAATGTATTTAGGGGCACAAATGTTTTTTCCTGTAAATACTGCGGTGAAGTTAGTTTTAGGTTGGATATCTGACGGACATTCACTGAGGATCTACCGGTGTCTTCTCACTCTCCGCGACCGGGAATAACAACAGCAGCACGGTTAAATCTACTCAACGTCCTCGTCCTGTTGAATAAGTGTGCTCCTTACTTCTTTAACTTTGGAGAACATGTGGAAAAAAGTTTGTGTCAAGCCCTGCATGAGATGGAAAATATTGATCATAGAGGAATTTTCTGAAGATAAATCCTGAACGATAATTTATCGCCCATCCCTAATCCCCATCATGCGACATTTCACTCATAACCAGGAATTAAAGGCCGCTGACTCTCAGACACGTACGACCAACAGCGAGCATACAGGTGAAGAAGTATCGTTAGCGAGTTCTCGGTTACTTGTTGGTAAAGTAGTTCGATGGTTAAAACACGGGGGTTGGTGTAAATCCCTGAATTGAATTAAATCCAGACTAAGAGAGCGTGGATTTCTCTGGAGCTCCTTCGACGGTGAGTCATTTCTTCACAAAAACGTCCTTTTATGATCCACTGAGGCTCAGAACGTCGTTCACAGTTTCCCTTTGGCCCCCGTCTGTTCAACACGGCGGAGAAAAGACTCGGATGAGTGGGCTGAATCCTCAAGTTTAACTGTGAAATTGATCAGATGTGACTGTAGGAATGATTGAATATGTCGGTATAATGGAGGCTTTTCTGCACCTCCATCAGCTGTTCATGAGAGGTGATGGAAAAGAAGCACTTAAGTTAATGAAGCCGACTTATCAGAGAGAAAGAGAGAAAGAGAGAGCGCTTCGAATCGACGATAGCTGCGTAATTACGCTTTATCTCCTCTCAGGGAGGTTAGCCGTTCATGAATGAAGAGCAGTTTTGTTTAGGAGGTGCAGACGTGTGCGACCGGAGGAGTGTGTGAATATTTCACCTGTGTGTATCAGTGTGTGTGTGAATATTTCACCTGTGTGTACAGTATTAAACTGTGTGTGTGTTTCATCAGGGTAACTGCTCAAACATTTTATCTCTGTTGTTGGAGTTTCTTTCTTCTTGAGCTAATAGTTCATTTCTACATCATCTCACACACACATACACACACACACACACACACACACACACACACACACACACACACGTCTAACTCGCCTCTCCTCGCACACTCTCTCTCTTCAGCCTCTTTTGATTTCATCAGCAATTTTAGGATCCAGAAATTGGACAGAGATTCCGCCGAAAAAATGGAAACAATCCATCTGAGACATAATCCCTTTTTTTGTAGTCTGCCTCAAATTGTGTTTGTGTGTGCGTGTTTGTGATTCCTCAGATTTGGAGTGTGTACTTCAGTCTTGGGAAGAGCGCCACTCTCCTCAGTCGGCCTTGTCTTACAGTCCTTGGCTCCTGCGAAGAAAGCAGCAGCAGCAGCAGCATACATTAGAAAATCCCTCAGTGTGTCCTGGGATCAGCTTCTATCAATGAAAAGGCAGATTGTACTCCGACGAAAAAACAGCCTGGCAGCAAATTCAGAAGAATTTCACTCTGAAACAGAAAAATCATTGAATTTGTCAGAGAACATTTCGGTTCTTGGCGTTATTGCCATGGATGTGTGGGTGAGTAAATGTACATTTGTGATACCTATGCTTTATTTTTTGACCCACTTTTTAATTATCTGTGCTCTAAAACAATCCGGTTTCTGTTATTCAAACATTTATGTAAAACATGTACGAAAAGAGAGAGAGAGAGAGAGAGAGAGAGAGCAAGTGAGCGACAGAGCGAAGAAACTAAAGATGAAGTTCATCTGCCAACTCAAAGTCCTCTCTGGAGACTTACCGCAGAAGGGTTTGCCATCAGAATCTGAAAAAAGTCGATTTGTGGTCGAAAATTTCAGAGTTTAAGTCGACCAGGAATTTCTTTGATTGATTGCAGCATCAGTATTTGTTCGCTCCACCAGCTGGGATCAGAAAAGAAACGGTTTAGTCTTCATACCTGGAGGACCTGATATTCATATGCTGATAGACAGAGATGTCTTTATGTGGAGGTGACAACATCTGCTGGTTTTAATCAAACTGTGACTCTGCAGTCTGTGCTGAGATGTTGAGGTGAACCTCCGGGAAACTGAACCTGGTGTCTATATGGTTAGAGGTTCTACTTTGCTTCTCTTTCAGGATTCTTCCATGGAGAGGAACTTCCCCGCTGGTGACTTCTGTGTTCTCACCTGAGCGAGCTCCACTCTCCTCTCTGCCAGCTCCTCTTCACGCCCCTGGATGACCATGAACCGCTCAGTGTGAGAGCTGTTGGACTCCTTCTCTCCTGACTCCTGGTGTTTGGCCTGATGCTTCTGTCCTGATTCTGCAGGTTTGTCTCACAGCACTGCACTTCCTCTAAATCCATCCTCACCTCTCTTCCTTGAAAATCAGTTATAATCTGCTACAAACAGATTTAAAACATTCTCACTTTTCCCCTTATTATCTATTTAAATCTATAATCAGTTATCCTACTGCTCGGATCTACTATAGAGAAGTTACTCACCGTAGAACTAAATACATAGAATAGACAATGTATATCAGCGAATTAAGAGCAAACTCTAATAACTGACCTAAGGGCCTCTGTTTCCTTAGTGAAGATTAAAGCTCCAGTGAGGAACTTTAATGTAAACAAAACTGTCTTTGCTCATCCTGTCCTCTTCATGTTTGATTATGTGGCGTGGACCAAAAACTCTCATCCCGCTGAATGTAGGTAGTCAGATGTGTCATTTTTATCAAATATATGAATTTAAGTTCATTTGAAAAACTTCGTATAGGAGCTTTAAAGAGGCGGGGTCTGTGGTCTGGACTGTTGTTGGTCAGTAAACTGTTTCACTTGCATTTGCGACTAAAAATAGATGTGTGTGTTTTGTAAAATGTATTTAGGGTCACATGTGAGCATAAAAAAAAATCGACAAGTGTTTTTTTTCGTGTTAATACGGCAGTGAAGTTAGTTTTAGGTTGGATATTCTTCTGGTGTCTTCTCACTTTCCATAACCGGGAATAACAACAGCAGCGCGGTTAAATCTACTCGTCGTCCTCGCTGTCAACGTCGGGTGTTGAATAAGGGACCGTCAATAAATTACCGGTTGATGTTTTTTCAGAAAAGGCTGTTTTCCTTCAATAGCTTCCATGTCATGTGACCAAAAGACCTCAAATTCATCTTAAATAATAGTACTAAGGTCGACCAATAAGACAAACATTATTTGATCAATTTTCATTGTGCCCCAACACATGCACTCCTTGTGAAAAAAGTTTGCGTCCAGTCCTGTTAGGTGTCCATTTTTAATGTACGATCTATTCTCATAACTTATGTGTATAGTTTTCATTCAGGGTTTAGGGGGTGAAGGGCCTGGGTCTTGGACTGAGTGTGACTAAGAAGCTCTGAAGTCTAACACGTTCGACTGTAATATAACGAGTCGGTGTTTTTTGGACTTCTGTGAAACATCAGAGTTGAAAACGTTGAGTTTGTTGGTGAAGGTCGGATGTCATGAACATAATGTGTTAAAAACACAGCTGTGTTTTTCCCACAGAGCTCCAGTCAAGTCCGTATTTTTGCTTATTTTTGGCCTCTTTTCAGATCTTTAACTTCTGCTTTCATGTCTCCTTCTGTTTTGTGTGTTTGCCTTCGGTTATAAAGCCGATCAAAGAGGACAGAGCTGACAGAAAAACACAGAGAGAGAGCCGGGCTGAGCCCTTCTCCAGAGCGGCCACAGTGTTATAGTGATGGTCCAACCAAATGAGGCTGCTGTTAATTTCCTCGCTCTGGTATAATGAAGCGTGTTGTATCTGACTGTGGAGGAGGCGACTGTGGCTCCACATCTGTCTTTGTTTCCTCCTCTATTGACAATTTCACCACAGCGCAGGTGTAAATGAGTCTCTGATTGGACAGCTGGAATGGAAACCAGCTGGGCGTCTGTTCTCCGTGTTTAAAGAATGGAGGGAGAGAGAGAGAGAGAGAGGGAGAGAGAGAGAGGGAGAACGAGAGAGAGAGAGAGACAGAGAGAAAACAAGACGGTGGATGATAGAAAGTGAGATAAAGTGTTTTCAATTGAATTCAAAACCTGTGCAGCTGAGACCTGTCAAGAATACACACACACACACACACACACACACACACACACACACACACACACACACACACACACACGCACACACTGTTAACACTGATGTGAGTCATCAGCCACCCTGCTGAGAAAGACTTGTAGATTTGACCTGTGACCTGTGGCCCTGCACTAAGCTTTTCATTGGTTCATTTATTTTGTGTTGTGCTAGTTACTGAAAAATAGTAACTAGTTACAGTTACTAGTTACTTTGTAAAAAAGTAACTCAGTTATTAACTCAGTTACTGAAACCAAAAAGTAACGCGTTACTGAGAAAGTCACTGTTTAGTTTCTGTGAAACGTTCTTCCAATACTCCCGTTATATCAAGATGGATTGACTGAGTTTCCCTCTCGCCGTCATTTCAGTTTTGTACTGATGCTGAAAAAAACAAACTCTTGATTAAAAAACCTGTTTGCATTCATTTACATTCACATCACTGAATTTAATCATTCAAGCAATATGATCCGTTATGCACAAACACAAACCTCAACACTAATACCAAAATTCTACCATTTTGCTTTTGGAATAACAGCCTGAAATCGCTAAAAAAGATCCAAATAAACAACAAAACATACCGTGTTATTATTTTATCAAGTTGTTCCTGGATATGTGTCCGTCTGTCGAACTCCAACCGCTGCTGCTTGGGTGGAGTGGGTGTGTGCTCGCTGCTGTGGCTCTCGGTCTCGGATGCTGCGTTACCTTAGCTGCTAACTTTGTCGGAGCATGTCAATCCTCCAGTTGCCTCAGTAGATTGTTGTTGCTGTTGTTCACCGTAGAAAGGATGTTTAATGTCCAAGTTTTAAAGAAAATAAAGTCCTCTTAGCTGAAATCTGTGAGGACTTAAAAGTCGATGAATCTCAGAAACTTTAAAAACTTGGACAGCAGACTTTTGACTGTGTCGGTCAGGGTTGAGTTTATCTGTAAACTTTTAACACTGAAACTTAACTCTCTGTTTACTGTCAGATTGAAAACATTACCCTGAATTTACTGTGTCAGTCTGTGAGAACTCACTTTAACTCACTTGTGTTTATGAAACTGATTTTTGACAATATTTTCTATAATCTCAGAAAAAACATCCAGAGAAAATGTGCTTCTCCTAAATGCACAGAAAGCTAAACTCCAGACCAAATAGTTAATTTTTACACATCCAACCGCCAACACAAATAACCAATTACAGGGTGGGATTTTTGGGTGGCGAGTGAGGCGACCAATCAGATTTCAAGGATTGTCATGACAACTCCAAGCAAATAAAAACACACTGATGGACTTGTAGGTATGATAATATTTTGATTCCACGAATTATGATTCATTAAAATCTCCTCATACACACACACACACACACACACACACACAGTATGATGTTACAGGGGTGGAGGATAATGTGGCCTGAAGGGGGCAGTGTGACTCTGTGGTCCAGTGGGAACCAAGCGGTCCAGATTAGATTAGATTAAATACAACTTCATCCTTTTAAATTAAAATGACACATGATGGCAGAAATATCCTCACTTTTAGCTTCAAGTCTTAAGCTTTGACTCACACACACACACACACACACACACACACACACACACACACACACACACACACACACACACACACACACACACACAGTTGTTCCCTTGAGTCTTTTGTTGCCTCCAAGGTTGTTTACCTTCTTCCCCTGTGTGGTTGAATGAAGTGGATTAACTTGTTGTGCTTTCAAGGACTTCAGGTCAAGGATAAATGAACGTTGGTTTTTTTCCAGTTAACAGATTCTTTGAGGAGCTTCAGTGAGAAAATGAAAATAAAAACTTTACAGAAGATGAAATTTCTCTGCAGGGTCCTTTTTACGTTAACAGTTCAGTGTGAGCGGATCGAACAGAGACACTGACGTGAGTTTGACTCCCAGCAGACTTTTCCTGACAACTGCAGGGAAGGCAGAGTGTATATGTGTGTTTATGCGTCTGTCTGTTTGTGTGTGTGTGTGTGTGTGTGTGTGTGTGTGTGTGTGTGTGTGTGTGTGTGTGTGTGTGTGTGTGTGTGTGTGTGTGTGTGTGTGTGTGTGTTTCAGCAGACACATGCAGTAGGGAGGAGCTGGGGGTTACGCGGTGCTGCGGCGGTGTGAATATGTGACAGATGTGCATGTAGAAAGCATGTCAGGGGTGTACATGCGCCAGTGACCAGCTGAGCTGGGTGCGTGCATGTGCTCTGTGTGAATGTGTGTGTGCGTGTGTGTTGGTTGCGGTCATACCTTTATGCATGACATAAAAACGAGAGTGCAGGTTCTTCTCCTTCTTCTTTTTCTGTGTTTGATTAAAGGACTAGTTCAAACTTTTGAAGACGACCATGATGATGCTCGTGCTCCTCCTTCTTCTTCTTCTTCTTCTTCTTCTAGTTGGTATGAGAGGAAAGTTCAGCTTTAACTCTGGGAAGACACTTTGTCTTTATTGTAGCTGGAATTGCCAACCAAGCTAACCAAACCAAGTGTAATAAGTGCAGACTGGCTGTACCACACACATCATGACACAAGGTCTGTGATTCAATATACAGCAATACTCTGCAATATTGAAATCAAGGCAGCATGTTGCAGTGTTTTTGTCTGACTCAAGGAAATCTGTCAGTGTATGAAGAATGCAGCACACCACCACCATATGCATAAAATATGAGAGGAGGAATGAAGAGAGTTTTTATGCAACAGGAACAGTGAGGTCTGCTTATGTTTGAGAGAGAGAGAGAGAGAGAGAGAGAGAGAGAGAGAGAGAGAGACACCCGTAATATTCAACATGTTCTGACTCTGAAATAACTTTGTACTTCGACTGAAACAACAAGGACAAGTGAGGAAACGAATCCAGTCACAGCCTCAAACCAGGACTCTCTCCTGATACGAACCACAGCCTCACACATGGATCCTCAAAGTCCTGAGATAGATGGGGACTGAGAGAGCCAGTACATCACCGGGGTCATCAAGTCTCTTCACGTGGGTTTCTTTCAGTTAAAGGTGGGGTAACCAGGATCTGAGGAAGTTCCAGTTTTTAGGAGAAATCTTGAATGTAAACTCTACCCCTCCCCTTAGCTCCTCCTCTCCCCTCCCTTGCTGCTCCAGCAAGCCCCGCCCACAAACAGACGCTCCTGCTCGCTCGTATCGTTCCAATTAA